GAGGTCAGCCTCTGGATGGTCGCTTCTTGAATAGTGCCATCCTTTGGGTTCGGAGCCAGACAAGTGTCACCTTTACGCCACGTTGCTGTGAACATGAATGATGTGGATATTGAGGTTAATTTACTGTGCTTTGCAGCAAACAATTTCTTAAGAATATGAAAATACCTCCCTCTGGGACAGCAACAACTCATCATTATTATCTTGAATATTAATTTAATAATTTTGCATAAGGAATGACAGTAAACAGTGAAAACATTTCATCCAACAATCCAAAAGAAATCTGGTTTAATTATCACACTCATTTTGAGATTTATGTTTTTGTGCATCGTCCTTGTTTGATAAATAAAGAAATGACAGAATCAACTGATTGAAATACACTGATCCTGAATGAAAACATACATCTACCCTCCATTATACTCCCATGATGCATCAGCTAATTCCATCCAATGTAGTAATGTGTTCCTATAATCAAATACATTTCATCACTTATGAGCACGAGTCGATAGAAAGTAGGTAAACATGGTGGATATAGATGTGAACCAGCTGCTGAGGCTTTAAACACCGTCACGGTTTTGACTGAAAGAGATGCGACACTAACTAAGAACACGTCTCACAAACCTCGATCAGCTGTAGAAGAGGAGTCCATCAGGATCAGGACCTGGGATCAGGACTCATTGGAAGTTTCCTCTGTCGGCTCTTGTTCCTGAGGAGTCAGTCACTGTAGCATGTTAGCTAGCTTGGTCAAAGCTTCACTCTCATTCACACTCAAGGAAAACGCGACATTTAAAAAAAAAAGATAATGAAACAGAGAGCATGTAGGTGATGGTATCCTGAGAGAGTCTGAATCCTCTGTTTACATCCAGTTCTCTGGTGAAACACACACACACACACACACACACACACACACACATCACAGCAGCAGCAGCAGCTTCTCTGTAACTGGCTACAACGACATCCGCACTTTCGAGACTTTTCACCGATCGAATAAAAATTAAAAAGCCATTATAAACAACAAAACACGGTATAAAGTGGTTTTTTTTTATAATTAGTGTTTTGAGAGTTCACTCTCATTTTTTTTGGACCACATTTCGCTGTCAAAGCATTGTATAGAAAGTGCTGCTTAGGATCTAAATTACCTTTCCCCTGAAATAAACCAAAACATCTTCAGTGAATTAAATAAAACAACTGGTTATAAAACCGATTAACATTCAACATTAAATTATATAAATAACCTTCAACACTGAAGCTGTTCTAAAATGTATTGAATGGAAACAGCAGGAAAAATGCACTGTATCGAATGAATGATTTAAGACAAAGAATGAGACAAAACTAAACGACGAAATCTATTGTGTTGGTTACTCTACTAGTTTCTACGAGCTATGTAGATATCAGTGAATATGTGCATTATCCCAGTATTTACCTTTACTGAGATTCATAAAATGAGATGAGTTCATCCTTATATAGATAATGTAATGAAATACATCACGTCAAAGTACGCAGTTACCCGTATGCCTTTTCAGAGATTCCTAGAGAAGAGGTGCAACAGCATCATCACATCAACTAATATGGCTCCTCAGTTAAGAGAATAACACACATCAGTCCAGACAGGAGGTGAAAGTAAAGGGACTAAAACACACATGAAGGACTTGAGACTTGGTGGTCTGAAGAAATACGGTAAATATGTTGTATATATTTTCTGGGGTTGATTTTGAGGCAGTCAAAGTTGCCTGCTGCTCTGCACTGATTTCTAAACACACACTAACACTGTGTCAGTTCTCCATCCCTGATTTGACTTTCCCTAAACGTTGGCTGTGTTGCTGCAGATGAGGAACGACAAGGTCCACTTCTCGCCATGGTACACTGCCATACAAAAAGGCACTTTTTGTTCCTGTTTTCTCTACACTGGGAATTTATAGGGCAGCTGCCGCAGATGTTCTCATAAAGACAGCCCCAAACACTGATGTCAAACGGTTTACATACTGCTCTCCATCTCATACACACCCATTCTCTCACTGAACCACAAGTGCCTTCTCCGGCCTCATTTGCTATAATACATTAGCACTCAAGCAGATACAGTCGGGATAAATAGATCATTGGCTGCAGATAACAAGTTCTCATCAACAGGCATTTTCACAGATGATTAGTAGATGGGAACAATGATTTGTTGAGCGACTGTGTAAAGTTGACTGTGCTGAGCTTTGGTTTGATTTTTCTGAAATGAAGTGAATGTAGCTTTGCTCATCATTAAGTTTTAGAGAAAAACCTAATATGTTCAATCTTATAAACTTTTAATGATGTTCATTTATGAAACAACGCAAGGCTAAGTGCTGTGCGGGCGATGATCACTTAAAAACCTGCCTAAGGCCCAGAATTTCACCAAAACAGAATAGATTTTATCTGTCCAAATTTAGAAATCATTATAAATGAAATATAACAGACATAAAAGAAAACAGACATTTCTGAGGTTGGAGCCTAGACTGTATATAAAGGGGTTGGAGGCTTGAATCTTCAGGCCATGATGCAAAGAATTTTCAGAAAAATTGAAACATGCATCTATATGTAGATGTTGTGGAAGAGCTCGGATCCCTTACTTAAGTGAAAACAGAAATAAAAGTGTAAAGATACTCAAGTCCTGCATTCAAAATTGTATTCAAGTAAATGTACAAATGTACCATCAGATGCATGTCAATCAATCAATCAATCCAATTTTATGTATATGGAATCTTTGAAACAATTCTAATGTAATACAAAGTGCATTACAGATGATTGACAAAACATAAAATGTTAAAGATGTATTAAAGAGAGTTTAAAACAGATTTAGAGAATGCATACTAAAGCATTTCACAATAGAAATTATAAAGATAAAAGAGAGTTAAGATAGTAAAGTACATATAATCTAAACTAGAATTTAGTAAAACTAAATAGAATAAATGAAAAATGAACAAAATAAATACAAATAATAACTACTGACAATATAAATAATAATAATAATTTTGGATTTGTATTGACACATAGAAGTGTGAGGAGGGTTTCAAGATAGAAGTGGAAGTGCTTTAAACAAATTAATATATTGTTGGGTGATTTAACTGACTAAATTACAAGCACTTAAAGTCTTAAGAACCATTATATAAAGTAAATGCTCCTAATGTCTACAACTAATGGTCATGTAAATAAAATGTATATATCGGCACTGAGATGCTTCTTTAAGTATAAGATCATCACAAGAGTGATTAAAAACTGTTTCATAATTTATTCTTATCAGGTCAGGAGGGAGCATTCTCTTCCATTCACCATGAAATTTCCCCGCTGGCTTTCCTGAAAACCCACCTGGACTGACTTAAGCAAACTTCTCTGGTCGACGTGTTTCCTGCAGCCATACTTTTTCATCTTACTCAGATTCATTTGGCTGAATCTAGATTTGAATTGAATAAAACATAGCGTTGGACCAGACGCTCCCTGAACCTCTGTTGTTGGTCATAATCAGCGGTTGGAGGGGGGAAGACCTGAATGGAGGTCTTGTCCGGCTCACAGGAGCTTCGGAAACACTCCATCTGCGTTACACCACCTCTCTCTCATGAGTCAGAGGGGCTGCCCCGGGCCAAAAGCAATTACCACCATGCCAAAAACGACAGTTTCAGCCTCATAAGCATTGATTGCAGGGATGGAAAATTAGGTTGATAATTCATGCTTCTCATTTTTATTCTCGTTTGTCTTCTCTTGCTTTCCAATTCACTTGCTTTTCTATCTGTTTCATTGGTTTCTTAACAGTTCATTCAAGGTGTGGGTGTCAGCGTAGACAAAGTGAAAACACTTGGATTAATATCAGTTTTAAAATCAACATGGTCCACATGTTTTTTATCCAGAACGGCTGAATCGTAGGGGTTGTGATATAGTGGCAGGTTTTTCCTCTTTTAGTTGCTACCTAACTTGACTGGAGTGGGTGGGACTTCATTATCAGATGTGGCAAAATTACACACATTATTTATTCAAGTATAAGTACAGATACTAAAAAACATATTTAAACATATTCGCAGTGCCTCCTCTCCGCGGTTGAGTCTCCTTCTCTTGTCTGTGCATGATATGCACTGAGCGAGATACAACAAGGAATCAGCTTTTTCTGTGTAATTGCCTCGTCGATTTAGATTGAAATCTGTCCCCTCAAATGCATGGAAACAATAGCAACAAGTCTGTTAATGTAAGGAGCAGAAAATACAGATATTTGTGTAGCAAGTAAAAGTTAAAAGTCATCAGATAAATGTATATAATTTAAGCAAGTAAAGTACAGATACAAGTATTTGTACTCTGATCGTTATACTAAATATCATCAAATCTGAACTAAGTTGCTGATTTTTTTTCTATGTTAATGTTTCTTACTCTGACACAATTTTTATGAGATCCTACAAGCACAGAATGAGGAGGTCAGAAACCACCTGTTTGTTGCTTCCTTCTTCATCTCTGTCATTTCTACTGTTGCACCAGCGGCCACCTGTGATCGGGGAATCCTGCTGCTTCTGACGAATACTTTTAGGCCACAGACGGCCGCGATGACACAACCGATTCTGCTCAGTGAGCTGATTTACAACGTAGAAGCATCTGATGACCCGTATTTGATGGCTCGCTCCTTTTGTCCTGCAGTGAGATGGAAAAACTTTGCAGAGCAACATATTTACGATCAAACTCGCCTCTCATTACACTGCAGCCCCATAGAGGAGCCTTTTGTTTGTCCACTTGGGCCACACTAAGCACATCAACCAGAGAGAATAAACGACTGTGGCGTCTATGCATGTGTGTGCATGTGTATAGGATGTGTGTCTGTGTGGTTTGTGTCTTACCCTCAGAGGATCTTTAAAACATTATGGCCGACAACAACAGTATTAGATCATGGAGCAGAAAGAGAGAAGAGCCTCTGATTTCTTTCACTGTTTTTATTCAATTCTGGTCACAGCCACCCTCCTCCTGCCAGGCACGGTGAACAGGCACAAAGTGCTTGGTCTTGGAATGAAATATCTGGCCACTAGACAACATTTCCCCCTCTTCCACTGTTCTGAACCACCCCTAACCCAACATGAGCACCGACAGGGACTCAAAGAGCTGCATGACTGCACGTCCCAACAATGAGGCCACACAAAAAGCACCAGCTCAGCAGAACTGGACGTCCGTTTCTCAGGCGTTTAAGCATGCAATTATGTTCCCCTCCACTCCCCGCTTCACAATCAGGATCGGGGGACTACAACGTGGTGTCTGTAGTAGCGCAGCTCCTGCAAGGGGAGATGTGGAGACAAGGGTGCTTGATTAGAAGGATTTTTTGTTTTGCAGGAGTTGTTGTGTGTGAAGGGAGATAGTGGTTGAATGGGGCGCTTGTGTGCATGGGTGAAGTACATGTGTGGTAGATAGCAACATGTTTGTGTGGTTGGGAGGTTTTACTTGAATTGTCCTTACAGTTTCATGCAAAGGTGTCTGTGTATTTGCATGAAAACAGCATAAGCCAGAACGGCGCCACACATGATATCGAAATGTATATGAAACTTTTTTAACACTAGAAGCCACAAAGCCCTTATATGTGTGTGTCTGTGTGTGTTTGCGTATGTTTGTCAGTGTTTTATGGGATGTTATCCGGTGGGGAGCAGTCATGCTTAGGGCCAGGCCATGCATCCATGCATGTAGCACACACACACATTCACCATATGGGGTCCAGAGGGGCTTGCAGGGCCAGGCCAAGCCACGCTTATGGACCATTTAGCACACATTGCTTTCTCCTTCACGGCTGCACTGCACTCCCCCTAACACACAAGTCAGAGATGGAAAACTTTACAGTGAATCACAGACAGAGGCCTCACAAGCCACACAGGATCAAACTTGAAGCATGGACAAATCTGTATTCATTGGCATATTTGTCTATATTCTTTCCATGTTCCCTAATGTTGTTACTCTGATACTGATATCCTGTATTTAAATTCGTCAGTGGTACTGCAGTGTGGCCCGTCAGAGCAGAAAAAATATAGGTTTTATGGCTTCTTCTTCTAGTGCCACTATTCTCTCCTGTGTCCAGGAGTCTCTCTATTTTAAGCCCCACTGGAAACATCTAGACTGTTCTCTTATTACTCATGTACTCTTACAAGTTAAGTAGTTCACAAACTAATAAATAATGATGAAGCTGACATGACGGCTTTGGTTACTAACACCCATACTTTTGTATATACAGTGTCTCTTCACCTCAAGATTCAATGATTTACATTATGGAGACTCTGGTTGTTGTCCCCATAAGTTTGACAAATCACCACAACATCAGTAATACCTCGACTACACACACACACACACACACACACACACACACACACACACACACGTACAAAAGATCATCCAAGTGAGTACAGTCACAATCCCTAATGCCCACAGTGACTAAATATCTGCACTTACCCATAACTCCCCCATCTCTCTCTCATGCCACGTATCTCCTCCTTCCTTGCTTCTTCTGCATATCCTCCCTCTCCCTCCATCCATCCCTCCCTCTCTCGCTCTGTCTCCTTTGTCTGTGTGTGGTCTGGAGACACTGTAAATCCCCAGCTCACACATGGTGCCACCCAACACGACGCTCAGGCCTCCTTATCCACAGTATCAGCTAGCATGTAAGAGCAACTGGGTCAAGGCCATTTATGCCTCTTTGCCTCCTCTGAGAGGCCTTAATGAACTCTCCTCACTTACGTAAGTAAGATCTCACCACTTTGATATGCAATAACTGCTGTGTGTAAATCTGGTTGTCTATTTTCAAGTGGTTTGTGGCTCTCTTTGTGTGAGAGTAATTGACTGTGAACTGCAGGAGTCTCAGGGATTGAAAACATGGAATCCCTCACAGCAGCTGGTATCGTCTAACCCTCCTAGTCATGTCACATGAGCTGGTACCACTCCATCATAACACAAATCTGATTCATTGAATGATTTTATTCAATACTAATATTGAACTTCATAAGCCCCCCCGTCTTGGGTACAAATGCCCCTCTTTGGGAGTCCCACCCTCCACCACTGAAATTCTTGAGCGGCTTAGGTTTCTTTACCTTGACTTTTCATCCATAGCCACTAGAGGGAATCGCTTGAACAAATCCCATTTCATGTGACTCCCACTTCTCTTTCTTTCTCGCGGCTTAATCGATAGAGTCGCCCTCTGTTTGCACATCCTGTCTCTCACCTGGACGCCACACAGCTGACTACAATCCAAATTGTGTCACAATCTTACAAACTGGTGACAGAGAAGGATTAAACTCATTCAACTCCAAGGCCCTGCATGGGAACGGCGGAGGCGTTGAAAAATAAAGCCCAAAACTCCACCGTGTCTTCACCCCCGGCCAGCTGGGTGGTCCTCACAGGCACAAATATCATACTAAGTGACCGTCCTCGCTACAGTTCACATCAGCATTTTCAAAAAAACAGTAACACAGGGGGAAGAGCACACTGCTGGAGTGGAGATATGGGCATGCAACAGAGGGCAAACAACCAGTACTTAGGCACGGTCAGGCCGGGCCGAGAGGTGGAAAAAGAGAGGGAGAGATCTAAGAAAACGTGAGAGTGATAGAGAAAGAGTGACCGCATGAGACAGTGAGATAGGAGGGGTGGGATAAAGGAAGGAGAGAAAGAAAGAGAGAAAGTTTGGGTGAGATCCTTGCGCCGCTCTGTGTGTGTGGTCCGAAGACCTCCAGGCTTGTTCCGGGGTGAGTGTGTGAGTGCACACTTCCTGGGCTCTGAGAGGAAAACGGGGGTAAAATGAAAGAGGGAGAAAAAGGGACGTCTGCACAATAAAGGGAATGTTTGCCTTTGCTTGTGTATGGGAGTGAATGAGCGAGCTGTTCTTCTTTGTTGAGTAAGCAAGCAAACACTGCTTGTTTGGCCCATGATGGGAGATCGCCGGTGTTATTTGCAAATATATGAGCTAGGCCAGAAAACAGTGAGCCGGGCCATCACCCAGAGAAAATAAAAGCTTTTTTCTCTGACACATGGGATTTTAAAAACCCTTGTGTGTG